CCACACACCCACACACTCACACCCACACCCCACACCCACACCCACACACCCTTCTAAACTTATTTTCATCTAAATATCAACATACGTAATTCATTATATTCGTTATATCCATATGGAAAATAAAAATATAAAAAGTCATATCGAAAGTCGCTGATTCATTCACTAACATAAATTTACTAATAATCTTGTCGTCGATTTTTAATATCAATCCAAGCATTTCATTACGACGATTTCGAATATGTTCTTCATAGTAAAACATGTCAATTTCCAATTGAGAATCAATCTTAATTATGATCTATATTGTCGAAATCTTGGCATCAATCGATCTACTTTCATAATGGTCGTATATATTGAGATAAAAAGTATTGAATTTCATTTTTTTTCTTTTATTTGAATAATAAGCATTCTATTTCTGATTTAATCGATAGTCAAAAATATATTATATATGAACAAAAAACAAAAGAAAAAAAGCTGAATTTGAATTATAGTAAATAACAAAATATAAATTTTAAACACATTTGATACACAAAAAGTTTTCAATGATCGAAATAAAACTTGATGAAATATGAAATACAATTTAATGAGTAACATGATGTAATTGTCATCTTGTACATTTATGCTATAAACGTATACGAATGTCATCTCTATTAAATGTTAAATCATTTTGTTTCGATCGAATCAAAGAATTTTTCAACTGGTAATTGTCAATCAACTAATTCATGTTAATAAGTTTATTTTAAGGATACTCAATTGATTAAAATAAAATTTTCCTTGACATCTTACGTAGACACTTCATCCCTTGCAATTATTCCTTTAAGGCAGATAATTTTGACTTTTCATTGTATTATTAGCGCCGATTTGAATACTATTCATTGATGATGATTGATTTCTAAATGAAAAAAGAAATTATTATCTTGAAGTGGAACTTAGCAAAGTGATATACCGTCGTTTAGGTATAGAAAGTGGATTAATAGTACGTGTCCATAGCATCATCATCTTGTATTTGTGCTTTACGTATATATTTCTTATGTTTTTCTTTCTAACATCGAGAAAATCAATATTTGATTTTCAAAAAAAAATAAAAGATAAACAGTAAACCGTTTTAAATAAAACAAATTGAATAAGATCAATAGGAACGTCATTATTTTCTGCATCGACTTTGTTTTTGTATATACGACATCTTGTATGAGTTCTTGTTATAAATGTTTCAGATTTTCTAATCATCGACCAGCTATTCATCGTGAAACGAAAAGTAATTTTCTTTGTTTTATTAAATCAAAATAGTAAATGCCTTAATCTGACTAAAACTTGATTATTTGTTTGAAATGAATTTTAATGTCTTAAATGTGTGTCTTCAAAAATTCAGCTAGATGCTTCTTAAATCTATTAAAGTTTTAATAGTTTAACAAAATGAATATTGGTTTTTTGTTGTTTGTTTTTATATATCATAAATAAATAATTAATCAATATTAATGCATACGAATAATATGACCAAATGAAGTATTTCAATGATATCCTATAGATGGAATTTATTTTAGAATATTTTTTTTTGATCTCATTTAAATATACTTTATAACATTAATCACTTAATGAACCATTCTTTTTTCATATCATTCATTAATACTTTTAATTCAATCTTTTCAGGATGTGGCGATAATAATATGAATAAATAATTGATTTGGCTTATTTGAACGTAGACAATATTAATACCACCAAATTATATTTTACAGTTTATAATAATTAAATATTAGCTTGACCAACAATAATTCAACTGGGTGTGGGTGTGGGTGCGAGTGTGGCTGTGGCTGTGGCTGTCGGTAGATGTGGGTGTGCTTAAAGAATATATACGCATCCACAGCCACCCACACCCACATCCACACCCCACACCCACACTCACACCCATACCCACACCCACACCCACACCCACACCCCCCCCCCCCCCCC